AGGGAACACCAGTTCATGGTAAGGATTGCAGGAGATACTGGTGGAGGAGGCAAATGTGGATACAAAAACCATAAATTGAAACGGAGGGATATGGTTTAGGGTTCTTATCAGATTTTAAGGAGAGAAGACATGGAGAAGGGTTCTTCCACAAGAAATGCCTATTAATTAACTGAGATAAGAGATAATATATAGAGTTTACAGGTAGACCAATTCAATCTGCGAAAAATGAGGGAATACTGAGTCAATTTTAACCAATATTTCCTTAATTATATGTAATATAGGCACAAAGATAGGGGATAAGAGAAGAACCAACAAAGAATTGTAAATTGTTCAATGATTCTCCCTGTAGATCCGTATTAGATAAAGTATTGCATAAACTTGTTGTACATAATGTTTTAAGGGGTTGTACCTCTTAAAATTCAGCATTTGAGGCTAAATGCTTATTATGGTATAAAGATATATATATATATATATATATATATATATATATATATATATATATATATATATATATTAAATAAATGGAATTAGGGTTGTGGTATGGTATATTCCATTCAAAACGTGAAATTAGTAGAAGAGAATACATTATTGTATATTTCAATAAGACTTCATATTAGATTATTTTAATGATGTAAGACAACATTATATGCAACTTAAAATAAACAGTTTAGTTAAGAATGCATATATATTTACATTTTATTGTCGTTTGAAGAATTTTGTCACTCGTTCATATTTTATATATTATTTGACCTACCTCAAAACAAAATTCTAGCTCCGCCGTACTTTTTTCAAAATATATAATAGGAATTAAGTCTTCTTGTATGCAATTTATATCTGCTCCACTATCAACTAGAGCAATAATTGTTTTATGATATTCTCCAATTATTAATTTTATTTTAAAATACCATTTTTGAGATGTGACAAGTTCTATTGCTTATAAGAATTCATTAGTCTCTTGAGTGGAAGTTGACGTATTAGTATTATTAGATTCATTTTCAAGAGTGATGACTCTGTGTTCTAACTTATTATGATTATTTTTTTGGAAAAGTAATTTCTCTCTTTAAATTATTGATTTATTGGGTGTAATCCATGATTGTAGTATTTAATAAAATATTATTTTTCATTTTTAATCTTTGATCGATTTCTTTTATCAAATAAATTAGTTGATTAACCCGAGTATTTCTTTAATTATTTATTATTTGATCAATTATTTGTGATCTTAATTCAAAATCATTTATATTTTTTAAATTAGATCAAATAATTTTATCTAAGACGTTTATTTGTAAATTATCCTGAAACTGTGATTGAATATTATATGTTTCATCATCACAAGAACAATTATTTTTATCTATTGATATTGTCATATTTATACATATTGTTAGGCAATATTTGAATATATATATATATATATATATATATATATATATATATATATATATATATATATATTGGTTATTTACATAGATAAGTGGTACTTATAAGATTAAATTATATTTTGCAGCCAAAAGAAGTCATCTTGAAGAATAAGGACCAAAAGCGACAAGGATCGGAACTTTGGAGGTCAAAAGCTTAAAATATGAAGAATTCAACAAAAAGATGACTTCACGACGTGAGGAATCATGCCTCATGACATGAGCATTAAGGTTCTAGAAGATAAGCATCTGGAAGCAAGAACATGTGTCCGATACGGATTAATACTGAACTCACGACGTGAGAGGCCTTTTCTCATGACGTGAGGAGGGTAAATTCGAAAACTATAAATACTCTTGATGATTACGGATTTTAGAGGTTGGCTGGAGAGAATATAAATTCCAAAAGTCGTTTTAGAAGAAACGAAATCAGAAACCTAGTAATATCATCCAAGGAAGGAGAAGTAGATGATAACCTTATTTTTAGTTTGGTACATTAATATGTTTTTACTTATGAGAATTGTGTGTTTGATTGTTATTATGAGTAGATAAATTTAGCTACTTCTATTTAGCTAGATGAAGCTTGAACTCATGGTTTATATTTATGACTATGGATTCTTCTTGTTGGTCGAATGCTTGTGTTTGATGTTTAATACTTAGCATGTTAGAATTTAATACTTAGATTGCTTAAACTCATGTTCTGTGTAGCTTAGTGAATATTAAATTGCATGAACTTGACACCTAGGACGTGTTCGACACTGAGCGTTTAGGAGCGTTTGAGAGTTTCTAGCTTCTAGCGTTTGATAAAATGCTCCATTTTGAATAGAAAGCCTTGTTTGACACTACAAGATTATAGTGTTTAGTTTAAACAAAACGCTCCAAATCCAAAAGCTACTTCATGTAGCGTTTAACAAAACGCTACAAGCTACAAGCTACCCGCTACCAGCTAGTTTTTGCCGAACACACCCCTAGTAATTTAGTGAACATTGAATTGCTAGAGCTAGGATCCAACTATTCTTAGTTAAGTGATTAAAGTATTAGTTTTGTTTGTGCTAAAGAACATATATTGTGACTATAATATTGTGTTTGTCTAATCAATCTTACATAGCTCCAATCATACATAATAATTGATTATGTGTTAAATTATGTGTGATCATGCATAGCTCTACATGAATTGATTCAACATTAGTATATTTGGACTCGAATTGCTAATAGTTTAATAACTGGTAACCAACTTAAATTATTCATATTTAATAACTAACCATTGAGGAAAAGTGGATTCGTACTAAGCAGAAATGTTTTTAATAATTGATTGAATTTAAATAGTCGAGTGTTTAGTTTGTCTCAACTAGCAAAATCAGATAACAACCAATTTACTTTTGTTTTTCTTAGATTAATCATAGTAGATAAATTATTTAGCTAATTCGTTCATTGTGATCGATACCTGACTATTTGTGCTATACTATTTGCGAAAGGGTACACTGCCTTGGGTCGAATAGCTAGTAGGATAGGAGGTAAAATTAGGTGTAGCATTTCGTCCGCATCAAGTTTTAGCGTCGTTGTCGAGGAACGACTATTTTAGTTTTTAATTTAATTGTTTCAGGTTAATCGATCCTTTTTGTGAGGTAAAAACCACAAAAAGTTAATTTTCTGCAAAAATTAATTTTTCTGATTTTACTGTTATCACAACGTGATTTTAGTGGTTTCTAGTTTTATTTGTTTTGTTTTTAGTTCGTTTTTTATATATTTTCCAAATCTCGATACTTTTGACGCTTTTCTTGAGGAAGTGGGACAGGAATTAGAACGAGAAAATGATGGTTATAACTCAAACGAAGATTTGAAGAACTTTGGAAGACGGTTAGACTACGTCTTGCTAGATGAAGAACAAGCTGAGATACAGGAGCTAGAGATAAAAGAGGAGAAATTTCATCCAGAAAGAAATTTGGAGGAGTTAAAAAGATTGCTAGCAGAATGCCTAAACTAAACGAAAGCCTAATGATTTAGCTCATCATTATAGAAAATAAACACATAAAATCATAAGAACTTAAATTAGACATGATCAATCTAATGCAAACCGAATGTGTTGTGTGAATTCTTGCAATAATCTTCAAAACTCTTAATCTTTAATCTTCTTCTCTTTCCAAAGTTTGATTTTTGCAGCTTTTCTGTCCCAAAAGTCATCTAAAAAACCTTTGAAATCTCCCCAAAAGTCAATTTTCTTCCGGAATGTCTTTTTTGATTGCAAAATAGAATTTAACTCAATAAGTACAAAATATCTTTGTAATTAACCAAAATATAGCTTAAATGTATTAAAATAATGCCTAAATATATGTATAAATATGACAATATCACATCCGCTGCGTACTTCTTACATCTTCCTTAACATATTTTTATGGGATTGAGGTTGTGTTGATGTTATTTCTCGGGACATCTTGACATATTACACAAGTCATAATGTTGCCAGATTAGAGTTTCATTTTGTAAGGCACTGCTTTAACTTTGTTTATGTTGGTTTTCGAAGCTCCTTCACCAACTAAAGAGTATGAATGACCAATGATCAGATGTCATTTCCTGAAATACAAAAAGTCGAAAAATCAAGATTATGAAATATAAAATATAATATCAAATACTTCACAATTGAAGACATGATTATAAATGTATATATATAGATTAGAGAGAGACAAATAAAACTCATCTTGGCAAAATAATGGTCAGAAACAACTATAAAACTATTAAAAAATAAATTTAAATTGCATTTTTCAACTATGAAAATTAACCGCATTTTATAGGGGTAAGCAAAGTCGAAACCGAAAAACAGAAACCGGACTAAAACCAACAAAACCGAACCCAAATCGTTGGGTTTGGGTTTAAATTTTTAAAAATTGAAAAATGGGTTCTGGGTTCGGTTTTAATACTTAAAATTGACCCATAGGAATCGACCCAACCCATTGGGTTGAACCCGCTTTAAAACCGATCAACCTTATATATTTTAATAAAATAGAAAATATATATACCATTTAAAGTTTACTGTTTGTTAAACTTGGTTGTTGTAAACTTTTAACAACATACTTTTGATGTTGTATTGGTGTTGTAATTGTTTTTATTTATTTATTTATTTTTATTTAGGTTGTTAATTTTGTTTTATTTTCTAAGTCATAAAGATTTGTTAAAAAATGGTTACAACCCAAAACCCATGGGTTGAACCCAAAACCGATGAAATCGACCCACAAATCTAGAAACCGAAACCCACTTAAAACCGAACTGAATAGGTGCTTAAACCCAAAAACTGAAATTTATGTGTTTGGTTCGGTTTTAACCTAAAACCGATCAAACCCGGCCCATGCTCAACCCTAACATTTTATCCGGTTTTGTAAAACCGGATATCTATATCAAACCGGCAAATCATATATGTCTAGATTGGATCTTTTTTTCAAACCGGTTTTTCCCATAACCATATGGCCACACCGGTTTACCGCCCACCTCTTAATTGGGCTTTAATGAGAAAATAATATTGGCCCGATAGTTTGAAGCCCATGACTATTCAGAACAGAGATTTAGGAAAAAGACCTCCATGTCATGTGACTCATTACTAGCGTTTTCTGATCTAGGGCACAAAACCAAACCGAACCTCCCGACAGTTGATAAAAAATTAGAGCAGTTAGAGCTTTGAATTCGAGCTACAATGTCTTCGCGACACGAAAATAGACACGCCGATGGGGATGGAGGTGGAGGTTCTTCACCTTATGATGTGTTTGAAGATCGGGATTCACAAATTCAGAAGGTACCTCTTGATGATATTGTTTTTCTTTTACGTCTAATATTTGATTACGGGTTATAATTGTTCAGCATCATCCAATGGAATTTTATGACTTCAGTCGTAGTTAAGACTTAAGCTTAATTTTGGTTAGTTGATGTAACCTGTGTATGTATCTGTAGCAGAATCGCACTGATGTTACACATGCATTTGTACTTGCACTTTTGATGTACATAAAGTTTTCAGGATTTATATTTTTCTACAGATTTCACTTGTTTAGTTGTTTGTATATAATTTTTAGTAACTTGTAAATAAAAAATTTCAAATTGGAGTTCTATGTCAAAATGGGTTGTTTAAATTTCAAAGTTGATACTTTCTCAGTCTCATGAAGTTGCTTGCCGCATTATCAATTCAATGACCCATATGAATAGGAAATGATGGTGTGTTTATCCTCTTAGTTTGTGGATTAATTACATAAAACAGTGAGCATCTTTTTAACAAATGCCTTATCATGTTTTTACATTTCACTTAATGTGCCCATATCAGTTTAGGTTAACAAAGTGCATCCTTCCACACATATGAACCTGAAGCATAGATAAAGGGGTTCAACAATGTGAGGAGGCACCCTTGCTTCCTATATTTCAAGCTTTAGTTACTTATTTTCTCATTTCCATAATGTAGAATTCTTGATACTTTTGATGTTTGTGCACAAGATGACTTTATCTTTCATAACTAGAGGCCATTTTATTCATTTCACCATTGAAAATGTGTTTGTTTTATCAAACTACGTGCTATCAATCATCAAACACCTCAAGCTTCATGGCAAGGAATGAGTATATGTTTCAAACAATTTTCTGGGGCAAAAAAGGAAATTTTTGTTAGATCTTATAACAGATACCACAAACTAGAAAACTTTTGGTGTTAAATTGTAACAGCTCCGTTTATATGCCATCACTTTCTAATGTAAAATTAACTTTATTATGTAAGAATATGTAAGTGAAACGAGCAAAGGTAAACTCCCAATAAATTCGACCATAAAGTGGGGAACTTTATACAAAAAGCAATATTATACAGTGAGGAACACCAGATAATTGTGTGTAACATGCGTATATACACAAAAGGGGTTCCTGTAAGAATAATATAGAGATCAATCTCAGCATGTTTCTCAACTATAGGTTTCACTTTAAACCCAATAATGTACAAGAAAACCATTCCAATATGGAATCAAGGCTGTCAATAATGGATTAAATTCCATGAAAAATTAAGTTATGGGTCATAGAAACCTCGGAAATGGCTATACCTCATGTCTCTCTTTGTGAGATTTTATATTTAGTGGTACTGTTATATCCTTAATTTCATGTTGGATTGTTGTAGCACAAAGGGCGTGAAGATAGTGAGAGATCAAAGACTAGAGAGCGTGAAAGAGATAGGGATAGGGGAAGTAGAGACAGAAGACACAGAGATTATCCAGAAAGAAGTAGCAGAGATGAGAGAGGAAGGGATAGAAATGAAGATGATGGGCGTTCAAGGAATCGTGACTATAGCAGGTCAATTTTGGAATCTTTTTTGCCCATTTTTTCTTTCTTTGTTTTGATTTGAGTTTGTTATCTAGATGCACCTGATGCTAAGAGAAAAAGATATGCCTACTTATTTGCTACTTTATATACCTTTTAAAGAAACTCATAAAACTACTCAGATACGAGGGCGTGGAGGCTTAGGCTGTGTTTGGTGCACCACAACTAGCTAATAAGCTAGCTTATTTTTCGAGCTTTTTTAAACTGTCATGTTTGGCAAACCAAAACGTAGCTTATAAGCTAGCTTTTTAAAAAGCTACTTAGACTAGTGTTTCAAGAGTTTATTTTTAAAATTTTCCAAAATATATCCTTAAATAATTATAAAAATCATAGTTTTCTAAATGCCCTTTTATGTCATTTTATATCTTCCAACTAGCTTATCAACCAGTTTTTACCAAACATAGTTTTTTATCAGCTAGTACGCCAAACATAACCTTAGAGTCAGGATACTGAGCTTTTATGTTGTATGCTTTATTGCATGTATACATACTTTATGCTTTTATGCCTGTATACCCCCCCTCCTCTTTGGCCTTAGATGTTCAGTTCATTAACGTATGCAGGAGAAATGATTATGATCGAGAAAGAGAGAGGCATCACAGACACAGATCACGTTCTGCATCACCCGATCGATCCCGTGAATCATCTAGATCTCGCTCAAAAAGGTCTTTCCACTTTTTTTTATTTGTTAAAATAATCAATATATCAAGATTCTAGAACCAAGTCATGTAAAAAGCTAGCATATTTGTTACACCCTTCATCCAAAGTCAAAGTTCATCTTTATGTGTACTTCTGTTATCTCCCTTATATATAATAACGATCAAAAAGACATGTTATTTTTGCATAGAAAGATGTAGTTTTTGTTCCTTTGATGCTACACATTCATGGTCAAACACCTCAAACAAAATTTGTTTTCAGCAAGAGAACAAGTGGTTTTGACATGGCACCACCTTCTGCTGCAACTATGCCTGGAGCAGTTGGTTAGTACCTTCATCCTACATACACTATTCAATATTCAATATTCATTATTGTTGTTGTAGGTCTTGTATTTTAGATATTTGTGGTAAATAAATAAAGAATGAATTATGATGTGTTGTTAGATTAGATGGGTTATAGTTATTGATTATTGATTTGTTTATTTAATACCGAAAACTGAGGACAATTGTTTTGTTGTGTTGTTGGCTGTTGTGTGTGGTTTTGTTTGTGTTTTTGTGTATGAATTGGGTAAGAAGGCAAATGTTGATGTCCCACTTTTGGAATCAGCTGGATCTTGTTCTTCTTCGCCTTCAGACAGCTTGTTATTTGGTAGGCTTGCAAATTGTTTCCCAGCATCTGCAGTGAAAGGAATTTTATTTCTTATCATATTTATTACTCAATCAATCAATCAATCAATCAACCATATATTATACATCTAGGTAAGGACTAGGTCTATCATATCACATCTCATTCTTTTTTTTCTCCTTATACAATTGATACAGTATCATTCTATATCATATGTAAATAAGCCTTGAAAATCAAGATGCAACACCACTCTCTTATCTATACTTTTTTTACTGAATCCTTTTTTTTTTTTTTTTTTTTATATGCAGGACAAGTGACAGATGCTCCTCAATCAATGCCTGGAATGTTCCAGAACATGTTTCCTTTTGGTGCAGCACAGGTAACATGTTTTTTTTTTTTTTTCCTTTGGTTTTTTAGATCTTGAAAAAGACAAAAATACCCTTCTCATTCTTATCATTGAATATAACCCTAGAAAGCTTGTGAACTTCCATTCATCCGTTGTGTCGTGTGTGACAATTGCAGACTATATGTTTTTTTTTATTGTGGATCTTTTTTGTTTATTTATATATTTTTTAAATAGTTGGGAGGTCTTCCCATGATGCCAGCTCAAGCGATGACTCAGCAGGCTACAAGGCATGCACGTAGGGTATATGTTGGTGGATTGCCTCCTTTGGCCAATGAACAGGTTTTACATCATACCTCTATTAATTTATTTACTTTCATTTTATTTTAATACATCATTATAAAAAAATTAATTTTTCTATTTCTGTAATATTTTTGTCTTTTTATGTGTTGAGCAGACTATAGCAACCTTTTTCAGCCATATTATGACAGCCATAGGAGGAAACTCTGCTGGACCAGGTTAGTTAAGCTCATTGACTATTTGACTTCAAATATATTCATCATATATAATAATAATAATAATAATAAATAAAAATAAAAATTTTGTAGCTAAATTCAATATTCCAATAGCAGGTGATGCGGTGGTTAATGTGTACATTAACCATGAAAAGAAGTTTGCATTTGTGGAGATGAGAACAGTTGAAGAAGCAAGTAATGCCATGGCATTAGATGGGATCATCTTTGAGGCATGCAAACAAATTACCATATTACCCTTCTTACATAGATTTGACATGTTTTTTTTTACTCCTCAATAGGGAGTCTCTGTGAGAGTGAGAAGACCTACAGACTATAATCCTTCATTAGCTGCAACTCTTGGCCCCAGTCAACCAAATCCAAATCTCAATTTAGCTGCTGCTGGACTTACCCCTGGGTAAGCGAGAGTCAAAAAGACGTTTTTGCCCTTGTTCATTATCATGAATCTGATTTTTTTTTTTTTTTTTTTTTGGGTGTAATTAGTGGTATTGGTGGAGCTGAAGGACCTGATCGTATATTTGTTGGGGGTTTACCTTATTACTTCACTGAGGTACAGATAAGAGAGCTGCTGGAATCCTTTGGGTATGTAGTTTTATAATTTTATGATTTTATAATTTTTTTTTAATAAATATTATCAGAAAATAAAAATATAAGGAATTTTAATGATTCAGGCCACTGCGTGGGTTTGACCTTGTGAAGGATAGAGACACTGGAAACTCTAAAGGATATGGTTTCTGTGTCTATGAGGTAATAATTATCACCTTTTTTTTTTTTTTTTTTCTTTTTTAAATTAAACAATATCAATCCGTAAGTATTCTCAGTTTTTAAACATCTTTGCACCTTGTCCTAAAGTTAAAAAAAGGGCGTTATTGTCAGTTATTCTTTCTTCCAATAAATATAAAATATTTGGGAGTTTTATTCAGGATCAAGCGGCTACAGACGTTGCTTGTGCTGCACTTAATGGCTTAAAAATGGGGGATAAAACACTCACAGTCAGACGTGCAACCATCAGGTTTTTATTTAAAATATCCTTTATTATTATTATTATTATTATTATTATTATTAATTTAAATGCTGATGTTTTTAGTGCTCTTTTTTTTACAGCAGTGGGCAGATGAAATCTGAACAGGAGACCATTATGGCCCAGGCCCAACAACATATAGCTATGCAGGTACTACAAAGTTTATTAATTATTATTATTATTACTATTATTAATTATTATTATTAAATATTATTTATGTGCTTTTCATGTTTTTGAACTTGATGTTTTTGGTTGTAGAAAATGGCGTTACAAGTAGGTGGGTTTAATCTTCCTGGATTACCTAGATTACCTGATGAGATTCCAACTAAAGTTTTGTGTTTAACTGAGGTAACGTATGTTTTATCTTTTTTTTAAAAAAAAAAAAAAATGTAAATGATGTTTAGATGATATTTTTGAGAAAATGTTAGGAGTTGGTTAATGTGGAAAACCTCATTTTGAGAAAATATGATATTTTTGAGTAATTTTTGTAAATGGTATTTTTTTGGTGCAATGAAGGTGATCAGTGCTGATGAATTGATGGATGATGGAGAATATGAAGAAATATTAGAGGATATGAGGGAAGAAGGACGAAAATTTGGTAAAAAAAAAATACATACACGAATCCTTTTCTATAATTTATGGAACATTTTACTAAACAATTTAATTGTTTAACCCTAAAATCTTAGTGTTGGGGGATTAGATTTTTTGGATATTAAATAAATATTCCATTTGAATAAACTCATAACTTGTAGGCGATTTGACAAATGTTGTAATTCCACGTCCTGATCCAAATGGAGAACATGTTCATGGTCTTGGAAAGGTATGTAAAAAGTTATTATTACTTTCAATTTTTTTTCTTATTTGCATATTATACTTTTAAAAATCTAGCATACTCTTATTTCTTTTTATTATAACATTTTTCTTATTATAACTTTTGGTTGGTAGGTGTTTCTGGAATATTCTGAGCCTTCTGATTGTGCGAAGGCAAAGGATTCTTTGGGTGGCCGGAAATTTGGAGGGAATGTTGTGACAGCTGTTTACTATCCGGAGGATAAATACTTGCAGGGGGACTATGGGGCTTAGATAAAATCATTATTGTTTTATGTTTTCTTATTTTTATTTTATTATATAATCTCTCCTTTTTTTATTTTATATTTTGAGAAATTAAGTTGTCAAAATTCAAGGATAGTTGAGTTGATGAAACTCTCTTTGAACGTAAGGTTGCATAAGCATCTAATGTATTAATGAAAATTGCAATATATATATAATTCGATAGGATTTTTTTTTTTTCTATGATGGATATTAATCATTTTGTATAATGAGTTAATGACTAATGAGTATTCAATAGCATTGAATCATTAGGTGTTTTCTAATAAGACGAAGTACTTAACTAGATAAAAAGAATTAGAAGACTGGATTTTCATCACACAATCATTTTCAAGTGTGATATTAAGACCGTTTATATGAAATACGTTAAAAAGCTATCTTTACTTGATAAAATGATAGCGTTAAGTCAAAATTTGCTGAAAGAAATAATATTGTTTGGTCCTGAAATATAAAAAAAAAAAAAGTTGGAAAAAATTCCGTAGTCCTATTTTAGGAAGAAACTTGGATGAGGGATATATATGGAGTTTAAGGGTAGGTTTCATAAATTGTATTATCTACATATAGACACAAAAAGATTGTTTGATTGTGGGCATATGGCTAAAAGGTGTTTGTACGAGATGTTAAGTGGGAGGCTGAATCCAATCAGCTCTCGATTTTGATGTGTTGAGCCCGACTGAAGTATACATGGTTGCTTGTACGAGATGTTAAGTGGGGGAGGGAAGTATAAAGTATTACTACTCACTAAGTCTAGAATAGATTTGCCCCTATAAAAGTAACTTGGAGGATAAAGGAGTTGATACTCCTTTTACTTTTTGTCCAGCTTGTGAAAAAGAAGTGGAAGATGCCAATCACTTTGTTTCTTCAATGTTCGAGTGGGTGGATAATAGTATAATACGACTTAGATGCTACCGAAGAGGAAGACTATAGAGATTATTGTCATGACTACTACAATACGGTGGTCTTTGGCTCTTTGATACGTGTAAATTCCTCAAAAGTATCATAATTCAAAATATTGTGCTTCATTCGTTTAATTTGTTTAAGAATAGGAACAAGAAAAGCAATATAGTTTTGAATTTATGGTTGCAAAACCTTATTATGAACATTTGCCTATAAGTGTTCTCTATTTGCTAGTCACTAGTTATGTAGTTAATCACACGCTATAGCATTTAGTGGTTCCCTATGAAATAATGGGGACACTATTTGCGCTGCAATGTACATCGATTCTTGATACCAGTATAACAGTGTTACAACCGCAATTTGTATTAAATCCATGTTGAGCTATTTTACATGAAAAAAAAAAATGATTTTTGGGGCAATCCTTTGAATAAATCTAATTTTTTTTGAGTAAATTACATGAATGATCCCTATGGTTTAGGGTAATTTGCACGTTTGATCTCTAACTTATTTTTTTAACTTGGAAGGTGTATACTGTTTGTTTTTGTCACACGTTTGATCCCTATCTTACCTAAAAATAGTGTTGATTTTTTTTTTTTTTTTTTTTTAAACACACCCAAACCTTATCCCTCTCACCTCACCTTACCTATCCCACCATTTTTTCTATTTCAATAATAGTTTTTTTTAGGTAAAACAGGGACCAAACGCGTAGCAAACAAAAACAGGAGGGACTAAGCACGTAACAAAAACAATTAGTATGGACCTTCCGAGTTAAAAAAATAAGTTAGGGACCAAGTGCGCAAATTACCCAAACCGTAGAGACCATTCGTATAGTCCAAACTAAAAAAAAAATTATCAAGTTTTGTGTTGGATATGACCTAATTAAAAAATCGCCGAAACGTTTTTTTGTTTCCTTACTGTCTTTTTATATTTTTATTGATTGAAATTTTTAATTGTAAACCTGGTAACTAACAGGTAGTGGCATCGTTTTCTTCTATTATGTATTTTTATATGATTTTTTATGATGTTAATTCTATATAGTATTAATATTCTAATATATAAATTCTACATAATATAAATTATATATAATATAAAAAATTGTTATACCACTATGAGAACTGCAGTTTTAAATAGCAACCGTTAACCACTATTGGATTTTTAACAGTAGGTCACTTGCTAACTCGTTAATAATATATGAAGTTGTTTATAAAATATCATTTAGTAAAAACAAGTGATAACTTAGATGCCAAATATAAAGATGACAAAAGGGTATTTGAATATATAAGGTCAAAAATATTGTAACTTCATTATTTTATTTTTTATTGATCTTTAATTAAATTGTTTTTAAAATAGTTAAACCTTTTTATGACCTTTTTTTTTATTTTTTATTTTTTATTTATTTTTTTTTTTAAATTTAACTATTTTATCATTATCTATCTAAAATATTATATAAAACCCTTCGTTTCACTAATCGTTTTTTAAACACATCTTATTTTAATATAAACATTCATTCACGTACAAACGATTTGCATATATATATATATATATAATATATATATATATATATATATATATATATATATATAGTATATTTGTTTATCTATAAATTTTAGATAAATAATAAATAAATCAAAGTAAATAAAAGAAAATGAAATAGTTTTAAAAAGAAAGAGGTTGATTGTTCAAACCTTTAAACTATATTGATCACTAATATATATTGAGTCATCAATAAAAATAAACAAATAAGTCATACACTCCAATGATATTTAATTATTTTGACCACTTAAGCAAATAACAATTAGCTATAAAAAAAACCCACCATTCAAGATGCTCTTAAAACCAACTATAATTCCCTCTAGAAATTATTATAGCAAAAATTAAACTAACATAAAAAGTTATATTCAATTTAAGTAATTATTGTAACTTTTTAATTAATATTTGCAATTTGTAAAACTCTTGCATTAACATTATATTATAGAGTAAATTACTGAAATCGTCCCTATGGTTTGGTCAAAATTGCACGTTTGGTCACTAACTTTGCTTTTGCATTCGGATCGTCCCTGTGGTTTGATTTTGTTGCGTTTGTCGTCCTTTACATACATAAAGTTAGGGACCACACATGTAATTTTGAACAAACCACAAGGACCAAAAACACAACAAAATCAAACTACAGGGATGATCCGAGTACAAAAAGAAGTTAGGGACCAAACGTGCAATTTTAAACAAACTATAGGGACGATTTCAGTAATTTACTCTATATTATATGATGCAAATTTAGATGCACCAAAACTATTTTGTTGTAATATTGTTTGTTATTAAAATGTTTAAAAAGAATTGACAACTGGACGTATACGTATAGAAGTATATTAGAAAGAGGTGTCGGTGAAATATATTTGCAAGAATCATTCATAATTGTATGCTTCATTTTCTCCGAAATTATATTTGAAAATGAGTTAATAACATGTACGTGTGAGTGTATCTAATAGCTGTGCTACTTTGATTGTTTATCAAATAAATATCTTTAATTTTCAAAATGGTATATGAATATACTTTTTTTTTTTAAAAAAAAAATGTTGTATTATGGTTATTTATAATCTCAAGACATTGAAAGAAGTATATTTTTAAAATTATGTAGTAGTATATATTAGTTTCGTTAATTATAAAGAATTAATAGATTGTTGAAAAAAGAAAAAGATGAGGACGAACATATTGAGTTGGATCATCGTCACCTTCACGTGTGGACCAATTCATTGTTCTTCGGCCCCACCTCAAACAACACTGTACTAACTTTCTTTCAAAAATGTAATGATTTTTGATAATTATAATAATGTCTTATAATAATTTATATTATATTACGATAATCTGCATTGTTATGTTTTTATTAAAAAAATAATTAAACTTCAATTGAAATATTTTTGTATTAATAAACAGCAGTAAATTATAAGAATATGTTATATTTTCATGTTTAACTCCGGATAAAGAAGTAAATAAAAGGGTGCCTTTTTATTAAAGAAATGACCCACCATATCTCGATTCTCGAGTCACATGTCTTATCCATTATTTTGTTTTGGATAATATTGCCACATCCACTATCAAATATTACGACTATAAATACTAATCACACATACAAACACTTTAACATTCACAATCATCTATTCGTTTCATACAAAAAATCTACACCTCTTTCGTTTATTATCAAGAAAAATATGTTGGCTAATTTCAAGAAAGGTTTGGTTAGTGCACCAAAAGAACTCAATAGTCCATCACATGATCCACAACACAAATATCATCAACAGAATCAACATCCTTTGAACCATTTCTTGAATTCCAATCCCAATTCTCTCTCATTTTCTTTTGGGAATGATGCTTCTTTGGCGTTTGATCCCTCTTCTCATACCTCTAATTCCTCCCAACGAAGGTAATCTTTTCATCTTTGGATGATGTTTATTTATGTAAAGAAGTTCTACTTATACTAAATATGTACAAAGCCATTTATTTTATGAAAAATGGCAACATTTTATTTGTAAATCGTGTAATCCCTTGAAAAGTGGTTGTTTAATTCGTACCATAGTTTTGTCTAATAACCATTTTGTTACATAGATTTGAAAAGAATGAAAAGTAGCTGCTTAGATACAAATGCATTTAACCCTTTATTTTCTACACGACATCCTAAAAAAGAAAATCTTCTAGCGTTAATAGAAGGATTTTTGTTTTGTGTATGACATTGATGAAATGTATTTGCAGGTTGTTTAGTAGCATGGATGACATTTATTGCATATTTTTGGGAGGTCTAGACAACTTATGCACCCTTAACAAGCAATATGGGCTAACAAAGCTGGCCAATGAGCCCATGTTTGTGATCCAAGCTTACAAGACCCTTCGTGATCGTGGCCCATACCCGGCCCACTCAGTCCTCAGGGAGATGGAGGGTAGTTTTGGGTTTATACTCTATGATCTCAAGGCTAAAACCGTCTTTGTCTCACTTGTAAGTGTCCTTTCAATACTTTATAGTTATACTCTCTCATGTATCATGTTATTTACAATAATAAAGAGGGCATGTTCGACATTTTACTTAATATGGTAAATTGTTGGTGATGATCCATAGGGTGCCGATGGAGGAGTGAAGCTTTTCTGGGGCATAGCGGCTGATGGCTCCGTTGTAATTTCTGACAACTTGATGGTCATAAAGTCTAGTTGCTCGAAGTCATTTGCTCCCTTCCCAACCGGTAAGGGTTCCAAAACTTTCGATTTACTTGCAGAAAGGGTAATTTTGTCTTTTCATTATGATTTGATATTGTATGTATATTGATGTTTGTGGATTTTTGTTTGTTGTATAGGGTGCATGTATCATACAGAAGGGGGATTAATGAGCTTTGAGCATCCAAAGAACAAAATGAAGGCAATATCGAGGGTTGATAGTGAAGGAGTGATGTGTGGTGCTACATTTAAAGTTGATGTGTATTCAAAGACCACACAAGCATTGCCTAGGGTTGGAAGTGAAGCTAATTGGGCTACTTGGGGATAAGGGGCATGATAATTTTTCTTTTGAGTTTTTGATTTTTATTGTATAGAATAATCAAAATTTAGATTGTTGACTTTCACTATAGATTTCTCTCTTTGGAAAAATGTATTTTTATTGTCTTGTCTCTTTATAAAGTATTTACTAAATTACATGTTTGGCCATTGTCTACGGATAAGATGGTCATATTATAAATCGACGTCTACTTCAAAACATTTACTTCACATGCTCGACATTGTTGTAAAGAAGCTCATCGATGATAATTGATAATGATATGTTATTTCAATTGGGTGGATACTACGCGGGTGGTGTTTAATCAAACGCTTATGAATCTAAAATGTGCTTGAATCAAAGAGGAAGATAGAAAAAGACCAAAATACATTCATGTGCATGACACATGATGGGTCTTAATGATTCAACATAAGCAACACTTAGAATGAGAGACCAATATTACAACAAATAAATCATGTGAACTAAAATGTTATTTTCAACTCATGTTTTCTATATGATCACGTGCTATCTCAATATTGAATAGGCCACCATTGTTTTATATTTTACCTTTTTTGCCCATATTTTAAAATTTTATTAAAAATTTGGTTCGACTGAAAATTTTTGTTACGAATCTGTTTCAAATTTAGTTTTTTTAAAAGTTTATTTTTCTACAACCTTTTGTTATTTTTTTAATAATGGTTAATAATGTTGTTTTTTTTAAAACTTTTCTTTAATCTACAATATATATATATATATATATATATATATATATATATATATATATATATATATATATAAAATTTTTTTTGACAAAATTACACAAATGATCCCTATGGTATGGTGAAATTGACACATAAAGTCAAACTTCAACAAAATGTCAAAGTCGGTCATTGTGTTATTTCAATATTACATAAAAGGTTCCTCCGCCAAACGATCTCAATCAATTGCTATTTAATTTCACGCACGCGCATAACATGTGAGGGTAAAATTATCTTTTTTATGTAACTCATTCAAGCGGACTTATTTAAAGCATTAGCCCTACTGATATATATATATATATATATATATATATATATATATATATATATATATATATATATATATATATATATATATATATATATATATATATATATATATATATATATCTCCATCTCTCACGTTCTTCTCCAACTGTTACAAAAAGCGTTCCTTTCGAGAACACACAAATTCACAAATGGTCTTTTGGTTATACAGTCAAGGAGCTATAATTATGACATCGTGGACCGACAACAACCCAAGTAGAAGGTTTGGGTCTGCTCGAAGTTTAGGTCGAAGCTCTTTATCAATTGGATGGTTTGATCCACCGATGTGCCCTAGATCCATGTAAATCATTAACGAGTTATTGAGGGGATGAAACAAGCTTGAAGTTCTTCATGCCAGAATATGCAAGTTTTTTATCACTACAAAAATATGTCATTTAGTGGCATACAAAAAATGCCACTAAAACCCCAAAAAATATCACTAAAGGTTTCTCAAAGAATTAGTGGCACACATAATAAATGCCAGTACAAACGCTCCCACTAAAACCATTTTGTGACACTTTTTGCTTTTGCCGCTGCAATTTTTTAAGCTTTTAGTGACACTTTTTTAGATGCCACGGTAAAAGAAAAGTTTTTGTGGCACATATTTTGTGCCATTGAAGGATCATTTGATTAAAAAACGATGGAAGCGAAAAGATCACACCGAAAAAGCCGGAATCGGTGTATTGCCTGGGGATGATAGCCTTGTTGATTGCAAGTGCTATCTTAGATCCATTTTGAAAGGTCGGTCCTTTTTTTCGATAAGAAGGAAATGAAGAACAGTCATGCTACATTTAGTTATACATTTTATGCTTTTAGTGGTACCTTTTTATTTGCCACAATACAAAACAATATTTTGTGGCACATTTAAACTAGAAAATACTAATGAGATTAAGTAATTTAGGCTATTATATCTATATAACTTTTATCTATAATATAAAATAAAATAATTAATTAAATTGCATCGAAGAAAATAAAAATTCCATTTCATTTGATGAAACAAACAAAAATTTCTTTTTCTTTACGAAGGAATAAACCATTCCATTCATTTCATAACAAATAGATTTTCCAACATTGCAAACTATTAGATATTTAATAAAATATTTTTTTTAACATAACAAATAGATTTTCCAACATTGCAAACTATTAGATATTTAATAAAATATTTTTTTTAACTTTGTCTAGGCCGTAGTGGTCACTATCAAGCCTATCTTTTGCAACTTTTATGTCCAATTCAACTTCTTCACTTGTTGTCTACCGTTAGTAAAAGTTGATATTGCCATTAGCATACCGTAAACCTAAATCAAAATCTACATTAGTAAAAGTTAAGAATTATATAAACTAGTTAGAGTAACTTATATCAAGTGCAAGTGATTTTGATTACCTCTAAGTTCATCATCTCCTTTATGAATGTTACTCTCAGACATTGTCTTTGTAATAGACTGCAAAAAAAAAAACAAATCTAATGAGATAAAGTTAAAATAATAAAAGACTCTTGATCAATAAAATCACCATTAAACAAATATGGATTTTCATATGGGGGAACACCATTGAGCTCAAAGATGTTTAACAAATAAAAAAATTGCATTCACAAAAGAAACTTTTACACAAAAGTCAAGTTCTTGACATAAAGAAAAAAAAAGTTCAAAATCACGCAATAAACCACTAACTACTTTCTTTATCACTTTAAGTTAAAATGATAAAGAAATTAGTTATTGACTATATTATATAATCTTTAGGTACCTAAGATAAGACTTTTTCACATTGTATTGGTGGACAATTTTCTTTTCTGAGATGCAATATCAAATATAGACAACAATTTGTTCTCTATTTTTTTACAAACCATCATCATGATCAAAAAGCAAGATAAACCTATCATAAGTGAAAAAGTGAATTGTAATGTAGATACCATTATAGTATTCTTGAAGGTTGCCAACAACAACCTCCAGTCCTCTACTAGCAGTTGCATTCACTGGAACAAATTGCATAGTCACACCCTCCCTTCCAATAGCATCTTCTGTAAATGAACCTAAAATCAACAAAAAACAAAGATTAAAAAAAGGTGTTGTATAAACAAAGATTGTTTCTGTTTTGGACCGAATGAAGTGTTTGAATATGAAAGTGACCATTACACCCTTCTATATAGATAAAGAGTCATGTATATTTTTATTTGATACAAGTATGAAGTAAACCTGATGATCGAGACCAAGGTCAATCATCCACCATGAACAGTTCTTCCCATCCTCAATGCGAGGCCCAACAAAAGAAGTTCAATGTTCCAAGATTCCCTTAGTTAACAAAACAATTCCATCATGTAATTTTGGTTATACCCACGTCAAATTAATCAAGTTCTCAAAATATTATAATAATTGTGGGCTACCTGGTAGGTTTGTGAAGCCAATACCTTATGATCCGTGTATCTTGAAATAGGATTGCTAGCTGTAATGTTGATGTTCTGAATATAAAAGTGAAAATGAATTATTCAAAGATTATCGACAACCAATCCTTTTTTTTCTTTTTTGTATTTAAAAAAGTGATCAAAAGATGTAAAAGTTTACCTTAGCTAGAACATGATTAACCCATGGGTGTTTCCCATATGATATAAAATTTTATCTTGAAAAATGAACAACAAACAATAGGTAAAGGTTATTGTCTTAACACATTATGTATAGATTTTTTGCTTATCTTAAAAGGTCATTTTCAAGATTAAGTAAACAAACGTATAGTTGTCCCTATGAAATACTTAACACATCAAAAGGCCATAGGTAAAAAAGAAAATGTTTAGAAAATACAGAAAGTTAGAGCTACATGTTTGGACAGATTCAATATGACAGTATGTGTGATTTCTTTCTTCAAAACCATGTCAATATTTTATACACCATAAATCATGATTTCCATACAACTGTTTCCATCTGCCATATATTGATATCATTCCCGGCTATATCTCAAGAAATGGATAATCTTTGTGTAAAAGGGACTCACCAATATCTCTTGATACATACATACAGTAATACACATACATATAAATTCAATATCCTGCTTTATACGTATATGTTGCGAATGACATATCATCTTGTGTTGTGGTTTACAATAAGTTACACCGATGAGATTTTAGTTAACTCCTGATGTAGTTTTAGTTAACTCCTGATGTAGTTTTACTGATTAAGAGCAAAACAAAAGCTTAAGTATTAAGCCAATTAGATCATATGAAACTGCACCCAAGTCAACATGAAGTGATTGATTTCTACTTTACATCCAAACAACAAAATTGTATTCAATTAAGCTAGAAAGAGTTGAATCGTTTTTAAAAAAATCTCCATAATAATCGGTGTACAAGAGCTGAACCATATTCAATTAAGCCAAAACCTTATTCAATCAGTATACAAGAGCTGAATTCTATTCAATTAAGCCACAATCATATTCAATCAGTATAAAAGGAAATAAATAACCATGACATAAGCTTAAATCGTGTCCAATAAAAGGCAATAAGAGTATGAAGAGAAAGCTAGAAGCATAAGATTAAAACTTAACTCGATATACAAGAGGATTATAGACGTCAAATACCTATTGAGAAAGTGATGCCGATGTGGATCAAATATACCACATTATCGGTGGTGTAGGGATGACGACTTCGATGACAGAGGCGTAATGGTGTGGCAGCGACGAGTTGGACGATGACGGTGTGATGGTGTGGCGATGACGAATTGGACGACGACGACATGGTGGTGTGGCAACGACAAACTCGACGACAACGGCATGATTATGCAGCGAGATGAAGTTAGGGCGATCGATTTAGGGTTGTGATGAAAAGGGGAAACGAGATCTCATAGAGGAAATTTAAAATAATCAGGTAGTTTAAGGATTAGTATTACTAATCATGTGATGCAACATACCATAACCGGCTACAAATTAAGTTGCAAATGCCCAAATTAACCCCATGTTCTTTAATAGGAAAACAAAACTCGTATTTCTTTTAGTGGCACAAAGAACAATTATTAATATTACAGTAAATCCTTAGTGGTACATAATTAATTGTATGCCACAAAATCTATATTTTTCGTGGAATTTTTATATTATTTTGCCACTAATAAATATCAATATTATTGACACAATTTGTTAAACGCCACTAAATTCGTTAACTCTATAGTGACATATAAAATATGCCACTAAAAACATAATATAGTGGCATAAAAAAATATGCCACTAAAAACGTATGCCACTAAATGTCGTTTAATTTGTAGTGTATGAATATTTACTTGGGTTTTAATTTTCGTTTTCATTTTCTTGAACATGTGAATTTAGTAGCATTTGGTGTTATGATGCTAGTTTGGTGGTTGTTCTAACACCCTTTGTTTAAGTAATTTCATTTTTGACCATAAGTATATAATTTGTTGCAAAACGGTCCCATGACACATTTAATGGAAACACGCCTTCAGGTGAGTACGTTGGGCATACTTAACAAACGAGCAAACCCTATTTTTTAGGTTTTAAATCGTATTTAGGCATCATCATCTCTTCAAGATGTTTTCCCTCATCAGCCTCCATCTCCTAATTCGTCCTTAGCAAATCCTAATCCTTTGTGTGAGTCTTTTTGAGCTTTAGAGTGCATTTTGGTGTTCTTGAAAGAAGAAGAAGGAAGTGAAATCATATTAGAGGCTCAAGGAATCTTAGATCCAGAAGTGTTTCACCCTCAAGCATCATTTGAAGGTATAGAGTCTGAAGCCTGATGAGTTATTTGCTTAGATCTCGCTAGCCTTGAGTTTGTGTTCATATTTGGTCCCATAAGCATGGTGTTCATGAGTATGGTCTACTATAACCAGAAGAGTTGTCCTTTCAGACGTTTTGAGGCGCTAAGAACCATAAAAATGTGATACTGTTCCTTCTATTCCTTCCATGCAAGAGTTATGATGTATTAATGGAATAATAAGTTAGCGTTTTAGCTTTTGGACCTTTTCTATCCATGGAAAGTCATAAAGGTGGAAAATTTATGACTTACAATGATGTTTTGTGTCTAGATCTGAATTTAGATGAAAAGTCTTTAAGAAATAAGCACTTAATGATAAGAAGTTGGTCTAGGCGGAGTATGTCGGGCGTACCAAGTGGTATGTTGCGCGTAATGGGCTAAAGCCCCAATAATTACTTAGGTCATGCCTATGCCTAATGTAGTAACTGAGTAAGCGGGGCATACTTAATCATGTTGACTTTCCTTGATTTTTTGACTTTCTGCATTTGACCTTGGACTTGGGTTTGACTAAGTTTGACCTAGGGGTTTTTTTTTGGGTATTTTGAGCTGCAATTTGATTTTAGGTCATTGTTTGTTGTATAGGTGACATGTAGATTTGGCATTTGGAACAACGTTCTTTTCTGATATCTTTTCAGATTGTGAGGTGAGTTTCTCCTCACTATACTCGTGGGTTGAAGGCACCAATGTCAGACTAATAGGCTATGTATTACGCTATATAGGATGATACTACGCTGATTATATGTTAGATTGGTAGATCGGTATGATTACCTGTACTTGCTAGTTATATGTTTATTTGTTACATATATCGACATAGTGTGGGTGGGTTGAGGTTGTACTGCCTTGTGCTGTTGGCCAACAAACCCAGGCAATCCAATTGGGAGATTATAGGCCAGTGGCAATCCAATTAGGAGATTATGAGCCAAAGTGGCGTTCTAATTGGGAGATTGTGGGACAGAGTAGAAATCCAACCGGGAGGTTGTGGTCCAGGGTAATCCAGTCGGGAGACTGTGGACCTAACATTTATTATGTATATTTGTTTGGTTGTTTATGGTATTTGGGGGAACTCATTAAGCTTTAGCTTATAGTTTAAGTTTTATGTTTTAGGTACTTCAGATGATCGGGGCAAGGTGAAGGCTTGATCGTGCACATCCTTCAGTTTTTATGAGATTTGATTTTGGGATACCTTGATTTGCAATTTTGACTTTTGGAAAGTAAGTTTTGTAAACATTTATGATTGTGGTTTGGTTTTGAAAAATGAAAATTTTACCTTAATTTTTAGGATGTTACAAGTTAGTATCAGAGCCCTAGTTTGAGAGAACTGGATGAGCATTCGTGTGAATCTAGACTCAAACTAAGGATCTGTAAAAAAAAAATTTCAAAATGGATTCAAAACTATTTTTGAAAAGTAATCAAGGAAGGATGAGATGTGTATGATCAGTCGGAGCAAGAAAGTACGCCCCAAGTTACCCACACTGTTATTGTTTATGATGTTTATGGTAGAACTGCATGCTAGTGGTAGGCTAGGGATCCTCAAGAATTGCATGATAGAAATTCCTGATGAATGATGTCTGATAGCCTAAGAGGAATTCTTATATGTTATATGAAAATGACATCATTACTGTAGTTTCTTAGTATGTGCATCATAGTTGTACATAACTAAGATTCTATAGCATGAGAATGTTTGGTTTAGCCTTATTTCCTATTCGTTGTTTGGTTGTGGGCTTAGTGTAGAATAAATTATTCAACTGTCTATGGAATCCAGTGTTATGTATGATTAGCATGTATGAGCGGCTGCAGGGTTGGTGGAAGTTTCATGAGTGAGTATGGGTGTAACAGGCCAATTGAGGATTGTTTAGCCACTCTTCAGAGAGTAGACATAGGATATATGTGTATCCTAGATGTTTGGGACTAATGGTTAGAAATTTCGTGTAAGGATCTTCTTGATTTTATGGTGTCTTAGTGCCAGTCGGTTTCACTGGTCGAGTGTTGCTTGCTTTGTGCTTTGTAGGACCTATATTGATGTGAGTTAATTATTAAATGAATATATTAAGTTACATTTTCAAAGGTTAAATAATTTTAGAACGATTGATTCAACCTTATTGCGTAGCTCTCGTTTGAGTCTAATCGTTATAGGGTTGGGTCTTTTAGTCGAAAGATATTTAAGTTTTGTTGCATGTAACTGTATCCACGAAGTGGTTAGCTGACATTAATAGGGTTTTTTTCAACAGATGATGGCGGGGTGATGTGGGGATCCTAGGAGAGCCTAGGAAGTGCTTTAATGTGGGAGCTACACTGTCTAGCAGGCATTGGGAGTATGATTATGAGTAGGTGACTTAGAGGACTCGATATGATTCTTGAGGAAAGTATGGATAGGTGTGGAAGGTAGTATTGGGCCCGTACTACTGAAATCACAAGATCCATACTCGAATCAAGGGAATTCAGGTGGATTCTAAGGAGCTAGTTGAGGGTAGATAGTATGGTTTGAGTTAATTGACTTTGACGTATCAAGGGACTTACTTGAGGTAGTTCTAGTAGAGTCGAGAGACTCAAGAAGGAAGCGATTGTTGTGAATGGCTCGAGGATTGCAGCCAGAGGCTGATCGATTAGTGAATGGATTGGAATGTTGCTATCTAGAGCGAGGTTATGTCATTTCCAGTTTTCTGTGTTCGGAGGAAAGAGTGAGCATGCATGATAATTTCATAGTTGAGATGTAAACCCAACATGAGGCTAGATGGTTGTGGTTTTTGGCGGCAGTATGGCAGTGTGGGAATGCACAAGCTGATTTTTATGGTATGGTCTACTTTCTTGGGATATAGGCAGGTCGGGTGCTAGTTAATGGTTTCAGGTGATCAAGAAAGTGAATCAGGAGCAATAACTTTGTTGTCTTTGATGTATCCCGACTATAAGAATGATGCCTTTTGTATTTATGAATGATTCTTGCGATGAATTGATGGTTTAGGATTTGCTGGCAAGGAGTGTGGCAGTTCATTTGTTTCCAGATAAGAAGTTTGTGTTATAAATGGACTGCCGTAGTTATTGCTTGTGCATGTGCATTAGATTCTTGATGTTAGAGGTGGTCATGATTGGGGTGTTCCTGAGGTCTCCATTTGAGATTCGGAATCTCTTGGAGTTTGGTCTTTATCTGGAAGATCATCTTGCGTTGTGCTATACATTCCAAGGTTAAGGGATGTTATGCATCTGTGTGTGTTGGTTTGAGTCTTGGTCTATTTTCAGGTTTGAGTCTTGGTCTATTTCCAATGTTAGTCAATGGTGGTTCGAAGCCTAAGCGAGGAAGAGTTGGATATTCTGCTTAGAGGATCAACGATCTGTTCGAGTTATGGTTTTAGAATAATGGGCATAGGGATTTTTGGTTTGGGTATGCGAAACTTTGGTTCAGGATTTGGTCAAGAAGGGGGTGCAGAGCAAGTTTCCATTAGATGTATGTGTTTAGGAATGCAAGAGTCATTTTCGCGGAGAGAAGCTGTTGGACAAGGAGCTCGTTATAGCCATGGGTTGCTTTCGGGAACGTCGAGGAATAGGTCAAGAGACATTTGGGTTGCTCAGGCTGAGTATAGATTATTGAGAGATTTGTATTGTTGGTTGTATATATTGATATCTATAGTCTTGGTTGGGCAGTTGTTGATCAGTCAATCAGTTTCAGAGTTTGGTATGTTTAGTCCCTCATGGGGTTTGTCCAATAGTGTATTGGATCAATGGATTAGTTGTCAATGTACTCTCGATTGTTGGTCTTTTTGTTCATCATCAATAGTATAGGTTCTTCGGAAGTTTAGAGTTGTATCAGTTGGATTTCAATGGATGCATCAAATTATTGTCAAAATCTGTACATTGTACATTTTGGTTTCTGGGTATGGGTATCCTCAATGTTTGGTTGTGAAATTATTATTCATAGCAGGCTCGAGGTTGGTAGATGTCCTTGGTTATTGGAAGTTCGGATATTGGGGCATCGTTGTTTCATT